TCGTAGCTTCTAGGGCGCGAGATCGTTCCTCCAAGAACTTCTTCATCTGTTTGATTTTTGGCACGTCACTTCCCGCGCAGGAAAGTTCCCATTGTCTTCTAGTTTCAGGATCTAATTTCTTGGCCAAAACGTGAACCCAGATCAAATCGCATTGATCAATTTTTAGTCCAAGTCCTGTCAGTGCCATCGTGTTTTCCGTGTAGGTATTAATCAAGCGACGTATTGCAGCGGATGACTCATGCTTCATTGGAGTGAATTCAAAAATTGCTTCCAAGTGAGCTTGTGAGATCATCTTGACATCAGCATATCGATCCTTTAGAAGTTCCCTTGCGACTGAGTAGTTCGCGTTTGTAGTAGGCAAGTGGGATAGCAAACAAAACGGTTCATCCTTGAAGGCACCCTTTAGGTATTGCAGTTTCTGAACATCAGACAGCGATAAACTTAAGTGAACTGCTCCATCAAAGGAATCTAAGAAAGGTAGCCATTGATCATACCTTCCGCTAAATGTTGGCGAATTCAGTTTCGGCAACTTCAGGCAAGTATCTTGGTTTCGGCCAGCACCACGTTGGGAAGTGGATTTGTAGGATCATGTTCCGCTTGCGCTGTCGTCATCTTTGACCGATTCAGTTGAATATTTTCCTCGGTCATCTAACATAGTTGTGATCATTTCCATCAAACAATCTACTTGAAGGTAGATTTTCTCAGCTTCTTCCAATTCAACTTCAAGTGCATCTTCATCATCGTTTAGAACATTTGAAATTTGCTGATTAAGCTCTTCCAGTTCCTTTTTGTTTCGTTCGCACATCGTGAGATTGGCCTTGAGAGTTCCAATTTCCTTGTAGGTTAGAGCAGATGCCTCTTTGTTGAAGATTGCTGAGACGGCATTTTCCGATCGGGTAATGACACCGATGTTAGCACTTCTTGATCGCTTCAAAGCAGGAAGAGTGAGCGTCACGTTGCTCATGTCACTAGCAGGTGATGACATTTTTAACTTTCCTCTTTGTTTCTAATCTTTGGTTCGTTCCCGAGTCGCGGCACCAAAAACGTTGTGCAGCAAAAGTTGGGAAACGAAAAATCACCAATCCGACTGAATAAAACTAGTGATTCGCAAAGAGTGTAAATTATTTCATGAGTTATAGATAGAAGTCAATTGATTTTTGTTAAATGCGGTTTTAAATAAGTAAATCAGTTCAATCGTAGATTTAGTTCAAGTAGAAAGCTGAGCTGTCTTTTTTAGGCTTCAACAAAAGCCACCGAATCGTTAAAAAAAATTAGAAAAAAAAACGTCAAAAAACAACAATCAAAATTTCGTATGTTTGTGTCATATGAAACACATTTTGATTTTAAAAAATCTGTGGTGAAACAAAACTGCCACCTTTAAATTAGCATTGGAAAATTACTGAGGGGTACTTAGAGAGACAAATTTATTGTTAACACCCATTGAGCCGGGAAATTCATAAAATAACAAAAAGTGAGATTTTTAAAAAGCAGAAAACCTAGAGAAAGTGATGGATTTTTCAATCAAAACTCGACGAGCCGTTAATTCGAATTGGTTTTCAAACACAAATTCTCAGATATCACGAGAATTAGGATTACAAGCTGCGAGAAAGTAAGCACAAACAAACAGACGAAAGAAAAATGCTGCAGAAAAAACTGGCGTCATTTCATTTTTCTTCACTGGTATAAAATTTTGGAGTTAAGAGAAAACAAGAACTATTTAACAATATTATGCTGGTACTTGCAATCTAAATTAAAAACAATATATAGAATGAGAGAAAAACATTGAGAGGACAAGAAACAAATATCGACATTGAACTAAATGACATTTTGAAAGCAATTCGGAAAAATTACGATCGAAGTATGGATAAACGTTTTTGTTTCAAGACATTCATTCTAATATCACTTGAACCCTCTTAAACCCTAGTCGATCACTTAAAAAATTTAACTTTCTACAAAAATATAAAGGCTAGAAAGCACTTGAAACAATATTAAAATTATCAATTGATGAAAACAACTGTGATTGAAAATTTATCAAGAAAATCGCGAAGTCAAAGTTGAATCAATTTAAAGTAATGAACGCAAGTAAACATTTAAAAAAACACTGACTATCTTGAAAAAATCTTAGCTTTCGAACTTCAAAAAAAATAGATGCCCTGAAAGCTCTTTGAACTTCTAGATGAATTAATGATTGGCACTTTTTGATGAAATTAACCCAAATTGAGATAACTGAATCAATAAGTAAACTTCACATTCCGCTGTAAAATTTACGCCACTTTCAGCAGATGAATTTCGATTGAACTCAAAAATGCATTATACCTAAGTGCATCAATATTTTAAGACTTTTCCTGAAAAAAAAATCAGCAAGACCTATATAAGAGTCTTCAGTACGTTCATTACGTCTGAAAAAACCTGCGCAAAAATAGAAAAAAAAACACTCAGTGTAAACACGCCGACAGAACTAAAGCCGACACTCAAAAAACCGAAATACAGCGTAAACATTTTCAGTTAAAATCATACAAAAACAAGGGCATATACCGGCTATAATGCAAGCCCTATACACAGGGCTGTCATGTTATTAACAAGGTGTTATTAACAGACCTATATTTAACATGTTAATAACACCTATTGGTACCATTGTTTTTAACACATGATGTACTAACAGCATGCGTCATACACTAACAAATATTTATTTCAGATTGTGTCATGCCGCGGCAGAAGAAAGACGTGTGGTACAGCTTCAAAGAGATTATCGTTGGCGGCGTTAAACGGGCCAAATGCAAGACCTGCGGTTTTGAGGTTGTGAACAATGCGGCACGCATGGAGAAGCACATGAGGGATTGCCGGAATGTGGACGATGACGATGACATCCAGGAGCAATCCACATCTTCTGCCACTACAACATCATCTGCTCCGCCGGCTCCAAAGAAGAGACAGACAGCTCTCAATGTCATCTCCACTAATCCCACGAGGCAGCATGAGAGCGATATCCTTGTGACTCGATATTTCATCGCAACCAACACTCCGTTTAATGCCGCGTCAAACAAGCATCTCGCGAAGCTTGTCCAATTTCTGCGACCAGGAACAACTGTTCCAGATCGCCGAAGGATTGGTGGAGAGTTACTGGACGAAATTTATGCAAGTGAACAAACGAAAGTGAAGCGAATGGTGTCGGGCTCCAACGTCACACTTGCTATCGATGGTTGGTCGACATTGACCAATGAATCTGTTCTCGGTGTCAGCTTTTATCATTGTGGCAAATGTTATCTAGTGAAGACGATGAGTACTATTGGAGAAAGTCACACAACAGAATATCTTGTTCAAGTCACGTGTGAGCAGATGGAGCATGTCAGGAAGGAGTTCGAGGTCAATGTGACTAGCGTTGTCACGGATAATGCAGCTAACATGAATGCAATGCGCAGAGAATTAGCACTTGTTCACACTTATGGGTGTCACTCGCACATCGCCAACTTACTTTCCAAAGACTTCTGCAGACCTTGTGGAGAACAACATGACTCGACCTCCATTACCTTGCGAAACTCGCTGGAACAGCAATATCGACACAATCGAATACTTCCAGAAGAACTGGCTTATGCTTGCAGAAATAGCGAACAAGCATCTGAAGAATACCGACATGGTATTTCGTCATATGGAAGAAATATTTCTGAAGAGATCTGCAGAAGATATTCTTCAGTTCATGAAATCAGTCGGGGTTACGTTGGACAATTTGCAGAAAAATTCTTGCACTTTGTCGGAAACATTCAAGCTCTGGAAAAATGTTGCCGGACAAGCACCAATTCAGTATGCAAGTGCCGTCGCTAAGCGAGTTCAGCAGGCCATTCTACCCGTCGTCCTAGCGGCTAATTTGCTCGATCACAAGTATGCCGGAGAGGACCAGAATCCGGATGAAACAAGACAAGCCATCGACTACATCCGTGAAACGGCTGGTGAAAATATCATGCCGGAGCTCACAAATTACATGGCAAAAGTTCCTCCCTATAACGAATACCTTTTTGCTGAGGGTTACAAAAAGGTCGAGAGTGAAGCTTGGTGGAGAAGTGGACTTCGACTGGGATTCTCGAAAGAATTGGTCGACTATGCATCGACACTGGCCAATGCTATCTCCTCCATTGCAGGATTGGAGCGGTGTTTCTCAACTCTCGGACTCACTTATGGAAAACTCCGAAGTTCTTTGGGCGTCGAGAAGGCTGGAAAGCTGGCTTTTCTCTTTAAACAACTCAATGAGTGATTTTAAAACTCAATTTTGTTTTTAACGTGTTTTTTTCATATAATTAACATGTTAACATGTTAAAAACGTTTTAGTTAACAATATGACAGCCCTGCCTATACAAGCATAACAAGTAAGCTGTTTCTACTTCTTTCTACATATGTACTATTTTGCAAACAAAGTTAGTTACGGGAAAAACATCTACCAGGTTGCAATAACCTTGATTATCGCAAGGCTAATAATTACACTGCAAAATCTTAAATATTAAAATCACTTTTGAAACGATAAGTCATTTCCTTTTTCGCTCCATTTACTTTTTCTTATTGGTGAACGTAATTTATTCACTTTTCACCGAATGAATTTGAGTTTAACAGAAAAGAAAACCAAAATCAAACCTCGTGAATAGCTTTTAAGACTTTTCACTCACAGAGCAAAAACCACACGACTTTCACTTTAATTATCGATGAGCTTTAATGAGGTTCTTAAAATAGGTCTTTTTTAGTCCCCCCTCCCACCTTTCAAAACCAAACTTCTCTTTTTCTAGTTGTTTTACGTGTCATTATAGCTATTTGCGTGATGTAACGATGTAAAATATGAAAGACCAAATCTCTTCACGATTGTTAGTTTGTTCATCATGCCCAGTTTCATTAAATTATGACAACGTTGAAGAAGTTTTGAAAAAGAAAAATAGAAAGGTGCGGGAAAATCGAAAAAAATCCGTAAAATCGTGCTCAAACATTCTTCCCCGCACCTCTAAGTAAAAAGGAAATCAAACCGTTTTGAGGGAATCCTGGTTATACATTGCGTCAATTTGATTGGTCAATTCCTGGATGGACGCCTGCAAATCTAAATAAAATACCACATCGAGTAACAAATGGTGTCATAATTGCAAAGATCGATGTCATACTTTTTGATCGATAGGATTTGCATACCTTGTATTTGTCTCGCCACTTTGCTTTTCCACATTGTTAGTGTGCTAATGACAGTTTTCACACTGTCGGACCTTATGTCTGACGCATCTAAAAAAAATAAAATTAGAAAGAAGAGCTCAAAGTCTAAAACCACAGTCAAATTGTAAAAGCTCAACATCGAATAGCTACATTTGTACCAGTTGACAAAGATCATTATCGTAGACCTCAATATGTACCAGATTATTATCGTAGACCTCAATAATCTTTTCTAATAGGATCTTTCTCAAAAAAACTTTGAGAAAAACCAAATTTGCAGAAACCCGATCAATCGTTTATTTTTAAATTGCTGAAAAAACAAGAAAAAAATCTTTATCTGAAGCAACGAATCATTCACAATTATTGCGCCACTAGCTCATTGTTGTTAGGCGGGAGCAATTCACCTTCCATTAAGCACCAAATACAAAAAGACACAATTTCGCATGTAATAAATTGGAAAGCATAAAGCCAAATTATGTATAAATGGTGCATTTCAAAAAAATTGTGAGTTGGAAAAATTCTGAAATCGAGCTGTTTATCATTGCACTGTTGTTAGAAACAAACAACTTTTTTCGGTTCATTTGATGAATTAAAAACGCATCAGCTGTGTTTACATTTTACTAATCAAATGTCTAAGCACATGCTATCAAAAAGCTGTAAGGGTGCACCAAAAGGAAGTTCGTACTAATATACTTTGTTTCGCAAGAATAACTAATCTATACTATATTTAAATGCGAGTGACAGCTATCTCCTATGTTTAAGCATAATGATTTTGCATGGTTAACGAAAGAATTTTTTCATGTTTAAGCTATAGCTTATACTGAAATGCTTAAAAAAACTTTTCAATTAGTTTTTCGCAAGGTCATTAATTTTTCAGTATTTTTTTCGAGGCCAAATTAAGTCTGTCTGTCTGTCTGTCTGTATACCTGCTTTTTTATTTAATTTGATTATGTCTGTTTACCCGTCGCCTAATTTTTTAACTTTCATCTATTATCTATCTATGTATTATATATTTAATTGCGGGCTGCACTATCTCGTCATGTTTAAGCTTTTTCAACGTAATTATTTTGCATGTTTAACAAAAGAATTTTTTCACGTTTCGGCTATATCGTATGTTGCAATGTTTAAGGTTTTTCTCGATTTTCCAGTTTAAATTCAGTGTTTATTTCATCAAGTTGGAAATTAGCAACCCATTAGTAGGATATTGTCTGAGTTATCCCAGGTTTTGCGATTCTGGCCCCCATATATGAATAGCCAAATTCTTTTAGTTTACGAGATAGGCAATTTTCGAGGTTTTTCAAAAATTTCTAGAAAATCTATACTATATTTAAATGAGAGTGACAGCTATCTTCCATGTTTAAGCATAATGATTTTTCATGGTTAACGAAAGAATTTTTTCATGTTTAAGCTATAGCTTATATTGAAATGCTTAAGAAAACTTTTCAAAAAGTTTTTCGCAAGGTCATTAATTTTTCAGTATTTTTTTCGAGGCCAAATTAAGTCTGTCTGTCTGTATACCTGCTTTCTTAATTAATTTGATCATGTCTGTCTACCCATCGCCAAATTTTTTAACTTTCATCTATTACCTATCTATGTATTACATATTTAATTGCGGGCTGCACTATCTCGCCATGTTTAAGCTTTTTCAACGTATTATTTTTGCATGTTTAACAAAAGAATTTTTCACGTTTAAGCTATATCGTATGTTGCAATGTTTAAGGTTTTTTTTCTCGATTTTCCAGTTTAAATTCAGTGTTTAATTCATCAAGTTGGAAATTAGCAACCCAATAGTAGGATATTGTCTGATTTTTCCCAGGTTTTGCGATTCTGGCCTCCAGATATGAATAGCCCAATCCATTTAGTTTACGAGATAGGCAAATTTCGAGGTTTTTCAAAAATTTCTAGAAAATTTGATTTTAAAAAGTTTCACAATTTTTGAAATTCTCACCCTGTAGTTGGGTGCTGTCAGGACACTCTCAGGGGTTGCGAATCTTGCCTCCAATTCTCACTTCTCAAATCCTTGCAGTTTTCGAGATATGATCGTTTTCATGATTTTTTCAAAATTTTTTCAAAAACGAAGATCTCAATCTTGCTGTTGGATATTCTGAGGGTACTCTCAGGGGTTGCGAATCTTGCCTCTGATTATGGCTGCTCAAATCCTTGTAGATTTCGAGATATGACGTTTTTGGATTTTTTCAAAATTTTTCAGAAAACTAGATATAAAAAATATCACGAAAACTTGAAATTACTATCTGTTTAGTGAGACTCTGTCAGGGTACTCTCAGGAGTCGTGAATTTCGCCGCCAAATATGACTGCTCAAATCCTTGTAGTTTTCGAGATATGACGTTTTTTATGATTTTATCCAAAATTTGGAAAAAACTTAAATGTTAAAAAGCTCCAAAACTTTTAAGATCTCAATCCTGTTATTGGAATCTGTGAGTGTACTCTCAAGTGGTTGCGAATCTTGCCTCTGAATATCGCTGCTCAAATTCTTGTAGTTTTCGAGATATGACGTTTTTTAGGATTTTTTCAAAATTTTTCAGAAAACTTATTTATAAAAAATTTCGCAAAACTTGAAATTATTATCTGTGTAGTGAGGCTCTGTCAGGGTACTCTCTGGAGTTGCTAAATTTGCCTTCAAATAGGACTGCTCAAATTTCTGCAGTTTTCCAGATATTAAGTTTTTTGTGATTTTTTTCAAAAAAACTCATGAAAATTAAATTATTTTTTTTTCAAAGTTTGAAATTCCTAACCTGTAGTTGGGGGGCTGACAGAGTAACCTCAGGGATTGCAAATTCGGCCTCCATTTAAGAATGCCCAATTCAGTTTTTTTTAGGAAATACGACGATTTGCGTGATTTTTTTGGAAATTTTCAGAAAACTCAAATTACAAATTAATTCGTTAAAGTGAAATTCCCAACCCTGTAATTGTCTACTTTCAAAGATTGCGAATATTGCCATCAAAAAAGACTGCTCAAATTCTGGTTGTTTTCGAGATAGGAAAACTTAGGTGAAGTTTCAAAATTTGAATTTCCCAACGTTGTAGTTGGGTACTGTAAGAGTACTCTTAGGAGTTGCAAATCTTGCGTCCAAATGCGACTGCTCAATTGCTTTCAGTTTCCCAGATGTGACGTTTCTTAGTTCATTTTAAATTTTTCCAAGAACCTATATAAAACTTCACAAAATTTTCTGGTTCTTCAAAATTTGTTTAAAAAACGTGAATAAAAAACTTTGCAAAGTTTTGAATTACGAACCCTGTAATTGGGTGCTGTCAGAGTACACTCAAAGAATAGTTTTTTTGAGTTGTTGAAAATTCAAAGCACCAGAGGTGCGGACACGCTAGTCTTTTTTAGTTGTAACTCTCTCAAAAAAACTAATCAAATTTGCAGAAACTGAATCAATCGTTGATTTTTAAATTGCTGACAAAAAAAGGAAAAATCTTTATGAAGCAACGAATCATTCACAATTATTGCGCCACTAACTCATTGTTGTTTGACGGGAGCAATTCACCTTCTATTAAGCTTCAAAAACAAAAAGACACAATTTCGCATGTAATAAATTGGAAAGCGTAAAGCCAAATTATGTATCAATGGTGCATTTCAAAAAAATTGTGAGTTGGAAAAATTCTCAAATCGAGCTGTTTATCATTACGCTGGTGTTAGAAACATATAACTTTTTTCAATTCAATTGATGAATTAAAAACGCATCAGTTGTGTTTACATTTCACTAATCAAATGTCAAAGCACATGCTATCAAAAAGCTGTAAGGGTGCACCGAAAATTGCGACTTAAGTAGGAAAAAAAGAAAGTTCGTACTAATACACTTTGTTTCGCAAGAATAACTAATCTTTTCTAGTTGGAACTCTCTCAAAAAAAGTAACCGAATTTGCAGAAACTGGGCCAATCGTTGATTTTTAAATTCCTGACAAAGCCAAGAAAAAAATCTTTTTCTGAAGCAACAAATCGTTCACAATTATTGCGCCACTAGCTCATTGTTATAACATCCATTCGGCAAATGATCTTGATGAAAGTCAAACGACTAAAAAGTCCCAAAAGACAAAAAAAATTTTGGGCGAATAAATTTCAAGACGTTTGGGGGAAAATAAAACTTGCGACATATACAAGTGTATATATTTCATTCAATGAAATTTACATGTGAGTGAACAAATGTTAAAGCTGTTTCCTAAGTGACACAAAAACTACATTAAAATGTACACTGAGGCAAAGCGGAGCTTCCCATGACGACCTTGGTAGTTGGTCCCTTGCATGTTTCTGCCTTCTGAGAATTTGAAAAATAATTAAGTTGACAAACAACATGAAAATATAATACAAGGAAACGTACAGCATCAGAAATAAAACATGGCACTGAAAACGATATAAGTTAAGCCCAATTAGAAAAAACTATTTCATACAATTTTAACCCAGTAGATGATCATTGCATTAATGAGAGACATCTAATTGCTCAAGAACTAGAGGAACGTGAGAAGTCTGTTATGTAAACCAACTAAAAATGATACCTCGAAACGATGCAACTTTCAGCTCGTGCAGATGAGTCTCTGCGTTTAAAGCAAACAGTATTCAAAATATGAGAAGATCCTTTTTCAAGGAATTTCAGGCATGGTTGCCGCTCAAAACAAAAAAAATCAATCGAACCAATAAAAAATAGTGTAGATCACGAAAAATGAAAAAATATATATATGAAAAAAACTACGCAAAAAAATTTGAGCTCAACTACTACAACAAAAAAGATAACGACAGAAACAGTCGCTCGGTTAACGAGAAGCTTAAAAGATATGGACAGCATTTACCATTGTAAATCTTACTCAAAAAAAGTGAGACAAAATCAACATAAAATTCAGCTGAGCTTCGCACCATTTGCGATACCAAGCAAACATAACATTGCAAACTAGCCGACAGAAAATAAAATGAATGTCATTGAATTGGAAAAATCTTGTTAATACTCAAATAAATGGGTAGTTTAAGTTGCAACGCAAGAAAACTGAAAAATACTGGCTTGTTTTTTTTGAGAAAAAAATTCAATTTTCGAATCTCAAAGAAAAAATTAGACTCCCTTGAAGCTCTTTGAACTTCTAGAACAATTATTAATTGGCACTTTTTTGATAAAACTATCCCAATTGACTAGATCAATAAGTAAAACTTTATTTTGCTGGGAAATCTGAAGACTGAATTCCACTTTCGAAACTAGAAGTCGATCAAGTTTTTCGTGACCTTAACACTATTGCACTACCCTTGCTTATCGCAATGGTATAGACTTTTTCCTGAAAAAATATCATCAAGACCCGTATAAATGAAAATCACTTTGTTTTTACACTTAATAATGGAGAAAAATGGAAGAATAAAAAAACGATTTCTAACAAAAATGAGACAATACGACTCAAACAATTACGCGGGGTAGAGATATCAGCCCAAGCTAATAGTTGAAAACCAGTTAAATAGCCGGCTATGGACAAACATGTACAAAATGGTTTGGGACAAAAATTCAATTTCTTGATTAAATAGATTTGCTATCGTAAGTCTAAAAACTCTTTAGAAACTGAACGCGGAGCACGCGGTAACAAAATCGACGAAATTTAAGTAAAGGCTTACTAAGCCCACAAAAAGGGCATTATTAACGTTTGTACGAAACTTGAATCAAAAAATCATTGAAACATCTTATTTTCGTCCGTAAGCGCGCAGTATAAGCATAAATAATATTATGCCGAGATCCAGTATGGAAAAGAGTGCACATAAAACAAGCATTCCTGTTGGACAAAACATTTAAAGGAAAAAAGTCAAGTAGAAACAAAACAATCACATGGCCACAGAAAGAGAAAATTTTCTTCGTTTGCCAACACTTCATCGTTCCTCATTAACATAGCCAACATACAATTAAAACCAAGTCAATCAACGCAAGAACACAGAAAAAAATCTGGCTTATTAAAAAAAACCTCAATTTTTGAACAAATATATGGCCTTAAACTCTTTGAATTTCAAGAAAAATTCAAGCTTGACAAATTTCGAAGAAAAATAAAACAATTTGAGACAACTGGATTATTGGGCAAATTTTTTACACAGAGGCGAAGTTGCACTTCGCATACACAAGCAAAAACATGACCGATAACGCAACTGGGAAAAACTGAATGAGTGAAACTTTGGGTCTACAAAATTTCTTAAGTGACGCAAGCCAATTATGAAGCATTAGCAGCACCAGTCAATTTGAAAAAAAAAAACTAACTAACATGCCTCAATTTATAGAGCGGACGCATTTTAGCTAGTATACAAAAAAGTTCATAAGAACATCCGACCCTGCCCAGGTTCGAACCCTCTTATTTTGTTGCGGGTCTCCTTCCCTACCTCTACGCTACAGATCCATGATAACTTGAAGCTAAAGTGCTATTTGCAAAATAAATGTCTGCGTTTATATCCTTAGCACTGGCTGTACTTGATAGCTGGTTATTGATCAAAATAAACACTTCGAAAACTAACACATTTTGTCGCAACAATATTTGCGTGGCAACCATATTTGCGACTTAGGTTGGAAAAAAAGAGTGTTCATACTATCTCACAATCTTTGCTTGTGTAATGACTTTCCCAAAAAAATCATCAAGACTTAAAATAAGAGTCTTCGGTACGTTCATTGATTCTTCTTAAACTAATTCGTAATCAGCTCGTTCACAATCTCATGTCACTTTCAAGCACTGACGTTTACAAAATGTAACAAAGTGAAAATTTAAGTTGGCCACAAAACATTCCTTTTAGACCGAAAACTTGACATACCAGAAGACGCCACAGTGGAAAGGGTATTGTCGCTACTTGTGAAGTCATCTTGCAAGTCAATTTGCATATCATCACATAGTGACGAAGACGAATTCTTCCCGGGAGATCTGAACACAAACAAATTCGCATTTAGTTTTGGTTAAATCCAGACATAGTACAACAGATTTTTTGTAGAAACTGAAAAACTACTGGTTTTCAATGTATTCTTCATGATTGAAACAAACTGCTTTCAGAGAGCTTGATGAATGGGAAAATTTATCCTTAATAAAAGTATACAAATCACAATCCACGCTTTTTTTTCGAATTTAAAAAGCGAGCATAAATAATATTGAAAATTGAATCAACTAGAAACAAAACTGAACACAGAGGCTAAATTGCACTTCTCACTCACAAACAGAAAATAGTCAACAGGCAGTTGGAAAATGGTATTTTGTTTTGTTCCATATTATTCCTATCGAAATTCCCAAAATCAAAATCAAAGCTCTATTTTTCGAAATTAAGCAGCGAGCAAAAACAATATTGAGCCACACACATAAACAAAACAGCTATCAGACAGTTGGAAGTGTCAACTAACTCACGAAAATCGAAAAAAAAATACATTGATTTCTTTAGATCTCGGCCAGTAGGTAATTTTGTTATTCTGCTGAATTCTAAATTCACAATTTTCGACAATGAGCAAATCAAACTGATTTGTACTTGAAAAGAAATTACAAGTCAAACTGCGAAAAACCAAATTTAAGCTTGATAAGCTGGAAAAAAGACAAAACCACAAAATCTAAATTAACCTAGATGAATCCTCATTTCTTAGCACTGAATAAAAATTGATCTCTTTAACTATATCCCCCCCCCCCCCCCCCGGTACCTAGTAACGAACATCCCGCTATAAAGAAATAAATGAAGGTTAAGCATATGAGAATTTTATACCTAGTAGCGAATCTCCCCACCCCCTCCTTTTGCAAAAGTGGGGATATATTTAAAGAGATCCTCAAAAAGGAGCTTGCGACGACCTCTCTACATTCAGACTATGCAGGAGCAAACGCTATCTACTAGCATACGCTTGATTCGTCTCTCCCTCACCGCAAACTTTTTTTATAATCCTACACCCTGCAATCCAAAATTAAGATATTTATAATTATTTATATTTTTGTATTTTTCATTTGCTTGGAAATGATTGGTACTATCAGATTTGTGTACTCACAAATCTGATAGCACCAAATATTTTCAAGCAAACAAAAAATATAAAAATATTAATAATCATAAATACATTAATTTAGGATTGCAGCGTTAAGCAGTTTGAATACTTCAAAGTTCATAGAAAAAATCGGTTCGCAAAAATTGAAGTTTTTCTGAGCAATCCATAGAAAAACTTCAATTTTTTGCGAACCGATTTTTTCTGTGAACTTTGAAGTATTTAAACTGCTTAACGCTGCAATCCTAAATTAAGGTATTTATGATTATTATTATTTTTATATTTTTTTTGCTTGAAAATGGTTGGTGCAATCAGATTTGTTACACAAGCTACAAAACATTTCACCTTATCTCGAGAAGTGATACGAAAATTAAAAAAAAATCAATTTTCTCTAAGCAAGCTACTCAAGCTTTGAAGCTTTTAAATAATACAAATTATTACATAGACCCAATCAGTTTGCGATATCTGTTCAAGTTTTTCTAGGAAAGTTATTAAAGCCATGAAACTTTGGAAAAAGCGAAACGGATAAAAAAAGCTTAAATTTCTTAAGCAAGCAATTCAAACTTGTAATTATTTCAAGTTATTTTAAAGACCGAGTCGGTTCGCGAAAATTTCAAGTTTTTTTAAGCAAGCTATACAAGATGTGATTCTTTGAAACGAAGCATATCGGACGGTGAAAACTTAAATCTTTATATTGAAGACAATTAAGCGATAGAACTTTGAAACATTTCTTTTTACTTTATAGCGCTGATCGATCCGCGAAAAATCAAGTTTTGTTATGCAAGCTATTGAAGCTATGAAACATTCAAACAATCTTATATCTTATATTTTAAATGCATGACATGTTTTCAGCATAAGTCCTAATGTTTAAGGGGCTATCGAGCGCAACGTTTAAAAAGGCTTAGATTGTTACTTTAAGAATCACTCAGAGCAACAAGAGCAAGATGAACTCGATTCAACTTTAAGGCTTGACAGTACCTGCCCACCTTTTGTCCAAAATTTAGCGTTTTTTAGATTCATTTCAGTCTGGAACGAATCACTTAAAAACAGCAACCTCTAGGCTAAGAAAGAAACTTTTTGCAAACCGGTTCGGTCTATGAAATAAATGGAAATGTTTCAATGTTTCATCGCTTTAAAAGCTTGCTTAGAAAAACTTTAACTTTTTGCAAACCGATTCGGTCTATGAAATAACTTGAAATAATGCAATGTTTCATAACTTTAAAAGCTTGCTTAGAAAAAATTAAACATTTTGCGAACCGATTCGTTCTACGAAATAACTTGAAAGAATTCAAGTTTTATTAGTTTGATTAGCTTGCTTAGAAAACTTTAAAGCTTTTCGCGTACTGATTCTGTTTATGAAATGACTTGAAATATTTCATAGCTCTATTAGCTTGCCTAGAAGAACTTAAATTTTTCGCAAACCGAGTCGGTCTATGAAATTACTCGGAATTTTTTTCAGTCTCGTAGTTTTCGAAGTTTCGAACAGTTCAAAATTTGGAATAGCTTTGCTTACACAAGTTTTTCGTGAACCGATTTGTTTCATTAAATATCTTGAATCATGTCAAAGTTTCAAAGCTTGAATTGCTTGCTTTGGAAAACTGTAACCTTTGGCAAAAACAATTCGGTCTAAGAAAAAGCTTGGATTTTTTTTCGAAGTTCCTTGCTCCATTAGCTCGCGCAAAAAAAAATAACTAAAGAACTAAAAAAAACTGGAAATCACTTAAAAGCTTCACTAGAAAAACAGTTTGCCATCCGGTTCACTTTTAAAAAAAAACTTATTTAAATTTTATAGCTTAAACAGCTTCCTTAGAAAAGTTTAATTTTTTTGCGAATTTTTTAGTCTATAAAATAACTGGAAATAATTCTAAGTGTCATAGCTTAACAGTTTGCTTCGGAAAACTTATACTTTTCTTGAAACAAATCAGTGTATGCAATAGCTTAGAAACTTTTAAAAGTTTTATGTTTTAAACAGCTCGCATAGAAAAACTTCAACCTTTTGTGAACCAGTTCGCTCTGTGAGTTAACTTGAAATGTTTCATTTCATAGCTTCAATAGCTTACTAGGAAAAAGTATAAATTTTTCAAAGCTTGCCTAGAAAAACTTATTTTTTTTTGCTAATTGATTCGCTCGTTGAACCAACTTGAAATATTTCAATGTTTTATTGCTTGAATAGCTTCCATTTAAAAACCTTAATTTGCGTCATCCGATTCGCTTCAAGAAACATCTTGAAACATCTCAAAGTTTCATAGCTTGCTTAGAAAAACTTCATTTTTTCAGGAACCGATTCTTCTATGAAACCTTAAGTTTTTCAAACCGACTTACGATATGGCCTAACTTGAAGTTGTTCAATTTTTTTTGCTTGGATACCTTGATCAGAACAGCAACTAATTTTTTGCGAGCCAATTGATTATTGGAGGCGGTCTTGCTAGTATTGAATGAAAGTCTTGATGCGCTATGTACAAAACGTTTAATTTTTTACCGAGCACAAAGTTTAAGCACGCTTAGATCAGAATGTTTGAGAATTCTTCAGAGTAGCTATCGAGCTCAATGCTTAAAAGGCGTTTAGGCAAGAAATTTCAATCAATCTAAGTTCTGGAATATTCTAGAATTCTTTCTGCAAAATTTTCAAAACTGTTTGAACAAGGTGAACTCAATTCAACTTCCAGGCTAGACAGTACCTGCTCACTACTTTTTGTCCAAAAGTTTGCATTTAAACATTCTTTTCAGTCTGAACCTAATTAGCTATAAAGGGTCACCACCATGCTTAAAAAAACTAACTTTTAACAAACTGATTCGCGCTATGAAATAGTTTGAAATAATTCGAAGTTTCATAGATTGAATAGATCGCGTAGAAAAACTTAAGTTTTTGAGAACAGAGTCAGTCTATGAAAGACCTTGAAATAATTGAAAGGTTGAATAGCTTGCTTAAAAAACTTAAAGCTTTTCGCCATCCGACTAGCTTTTTTAAATAGTTTCTTAGTCTGGATATCTTGGATAGAAAAATTGAACTTTTCGCGAACCGATTCGGCTATTCAGGCTATGAAACTTATTTCATAGCGCGAATCAGTTGCTTAAGGCTAGTTTTTCTAAGTATGAAGGTGACTTTTTTAAAGTTTTTTAGGTTCAGACTGAAAAGAATCTGTAACGCAAAAATTTGGACATATTCTGAAATCGAGTTTTTATTTGAAACAATTAGTTTTTTTTTCGGTTCATTTGATAAAGTAAAAATGCAACAACTGGGTTAACTTATTACTAAACGAATTTCAAAGCACATGCTATCAAAAAGCCGTGAAGGTTCCACAAATAGTGGCACCAATATTTGCGACTTACTTAAGTTGAAAAAAGAATAGTCCTTCTCTTTCACTAAGATCGACAAAACCATCAGCACTGCAGCACTACCTACGTCTTTCGACTGAAGAAAAAAATGCCTAAAATGTACGCGGAAAAAAACCAAACTTTTGCTATACTTCCGACTGAACCATCGAACACTGCGAGCAGATCAGTACGTGCATTCCCGAGATGCAATCAATGAGAATAGAAATGCTCATACGCTGGATGACAGATGACTCTTCCGAAACCTTCTGCATGAAAAATCAAAAATCCAAACTCGTTCCGAAACCACAAGACTCTCGCGCCCATACGCATCTGATCGGCATGACATAGTAGCTCGAATACTTGGAGAAAAAAGTTACTGGGTCTTGTGGCAAAGCAGATCTTCTGAGAGGTCCGTTGTCAAATTGCTTCAAATGAAGGACAAAAGCGAGGGTTACCGCATGTAAGACTGGTTTAGCTAACGACTCAAATTGGGTCAAGGAGACAGATAACTTTTGATGTGCCGAAATTTAAATTCCCATAGATCCATAATTGCTCGAAATAATTGGCAGAAACATGCTTCATGAACCAGTTAGCTCAGCATAACCAACTTATATATCATCATGAACAAAATATGCAATAGAATCGATTCACAAGATGTCACAGAAACTCAATCAGATACACATCGATATTGTCTCTATCGACGCAGAGGTACTGCCGTTGGCGGCTTCACAGAACCAAACAATCAGAGGCCGCAACTTTACTGCAGACAACAGCTGGGTAGAGCCATCGATCGAGTAATGACTTCAATCGACTAAAAGCAAAGGACACTATTGCAAGTACTTCAACAAGGGTGCAGGTTATGGCAATTTACAGTCTCCAACGAGATGACACAGGGTAAATTAACGAAACTATAAAAAAAAATGTCGGTGAGCCAATGCAAAAATCATCGGCGCGGATAAACTAACTGTGTGGAATAAAAGCACAATAGCACAGAAATATCATTGCGGCTATGGATATCTCCGGCAGAACTCAAACCCTTTCGGAACTCAACCCATTTCGGCGGCTCCATAGTAGCATTTTCTAACAATTTCGGCAGCTTTTTTTCCCAGTGGCGTTTTGTGGAGAGCGTAATATTGACAGCTAACATGAGAGCTCGCCTCTTTAGCGATACAACAGTAGTGCAAATTTCAAAAACTCTCCCACACATCGAAAAAAAAACTTTCTCGAAAGACTCCTTTGAATGAATATAATTTCAGAACTACGCAGGAAGTAGAAGACGCAATTTACTCAAATAACAAGCAGAACAATACTAGCACGACACGGTTGACAAAACAAGACGCTGTTTCGCTAATGAATGAAAGACTGCTCTGCTCGCCTGTAATTCGAACACAAATTCATGCATTTATCAAAAGATACAGTTACTAGTAACAGAAGAAAATTCCGTGCAACTTCCGAACGAATTCCCTTGATTCTTCTGGTAACCCTCACGAACTCACTCTCAAATTTGGACAGAATACCATGCTGTTGCGGAACTTCATGACTGCAATGGCACAGGTCTAATAGTCCATTCACTGTAATCAAACGTAATGGAAAGCGACCATTGTTTCCTTCAGCAGTTTCAAAACCAAATGATATAAAACCCAAAGAATTTCAAAAGAGCAGCCTTTTAGTTTATAACAAATTCAGTTTCCTGTCACTCTGGCAATCACAATTTCCCTTTCAACACAAGATCAGAATAAACACAGAGGCGAAGCTGAGCTTCGCACCACTTGCGATACAACAAGAGGACTTCGAAAGTTGTAAGCGTAGAAACAACTAAAAACAAAAAAATGAAAATCAGTTTTTTTGTTTAAAAATACTAAAAATTTTAAAGAGCTCAAAGTCTTAACGATCGCATAAACAACATCGGAACTTTGTAGAAAACAAAATATTAGGCAAATAAAGCCGACAGAATTAAAGCCGACAGCCAATTTCTACAAATATTATTTTGCAGCTAATTTCTGCAAAAGGGCTTGAAGGACCCCTTCGGCAAAATTTTATTGGAAAATATACAGGTACTGTCCAAATAGTATCTACGAAAGCCATATAAGTGCTGAAAGTAAAGATGGTATACATAATTCGGAAGCTAAACGTAGGGCTAAAACATCGAACGCTAAAACATCGAAAGCCGAAAAATCATCATCACAAAAGTAATATCGATGTTTTATAAGTATACATAAAATCAATCTATCAAAATGAAATTTTTGAAAAAAAAAAACAAGTCAATACAAAAGAATGCAAAACTAGGTTCGGAATAAAACTAACCAAGCAGTAACAAAAGAACATCAGCATAAGCGCTTCATGCCGAACATAAAGAAAAACTTCGTAACAAAAAAATACATGAGTCCCACTTCCCCTCAGAACACATAGGCACACAAAACGTTTCTCGGCCATCAAACGATGCAAAAAAGTCCACTAAATTAAGCCGAAACCGACGCAGTAAAAAAGCAGACAAAAATTTAACAAATCGAGTTCGTAAAATTACCAATAATGTAAAAAAGCAAATTTCGATTCGGCCGGATTTTTAAAATGCTAAGACAGTAAGCATCTACAGCAAAAATCGTTTGCACCAAAAACAAACGATCCTTAGTTCTGGCAACTAAGCCGATAAAACATAAGCAGACAAATCATAGGCCGAAATTTTATTGAACCGCAATTTTTACCGTTTGAAAGAAAAAAAGCAGCTCCCGGTCAGATTCGAACCCAGGACCTTTTCCCTTCCAGGCGCATTCGTTACCTTCAGGCTAAGCGCGCAGGAGATAGTAAAAAATTTGAATTCGTTTTGAACTAAGGTACCACCAGGAGTCGATGAGTCCCGTGGACAAAGTTGTTTAAGGAAAAAAAGTCTAGTACCCGATTGCAAAACCCTTGCTTATTGCGAGGGTAAAAAAAACAGTTTACAATAACTCCGGCCATTCATTACTCATGGATGAATTTATGCTGCATGTTCTTTGACTATTTGTGCTACAAAAATGACCAATAACCTCGTTTATTGGAAAGTTCTCCAGCAAATATATATGTCTTTATCTTATCGTGTTTAATACAGCATGCTGTAAATAAATACACAAAATCACTCAAGAAAACCAAAAAATTAATGATTTCTTTTGAATAGTTTTCAGCTTTCGAATTTCGTAGAAATATTTATATGAAACAAACCAATCAAAGAGAACTGGGCCAAAATATATTTTTAATCATTATTTTTTTAAAATCTAGATTCGAAACTACAACTTATTCACTGCTACAACTTTTTCGCAACAACTGAAACTTCGAGAACTGAAAATGTAATTTGCCGTTTAACAAATGAATGTCAAACAGCAAAAAAACATCCAACAGGCACAAGTAATCGCCAGTAAACAGAAAAAAAACCACCTTTCGAACTTCAAAAAAAAATAGATGACCTTGAAGCTCTTGGAATTTCTATGACTCTTTTTTGACACAACTAAATCAATTTGAGAAAACTGGATTAAAACCGCCAAAAATCAAATTTGAGTGGTAACAAATTTTAAGACATTTCCTGAAAAAAATCATCAAGACTTAAAAAAATCTTCACTACGTTCATTGACTTAACTGGACCGTACACTAAAAAGAAAAAATTGAACTACTATTGCTTAATTATTAATTGTCCACGAACTACGTGACGAAACTTTTCTGCTTAAGAGTCGATGAACATAGTGAAGACTCGTATGTGGGCAGTTACGATTTTTTTTCGAAGAAAAATTTGTTCAGGCGCAAGCTGTTCAGGAATAGTAAATTTCAGTGCTTCAAAATGACATGAGATTGTAAATACGCTTATAATGAAGTATCTTTTTTCTTAGAGCTACCCACATAAAAGTCTTCACTACGTTCATCGACTATTAAGCAAAAAAATTCTTCGCTTAGTTCCTGGACAATTAATAATTAAGCAATAGTAGTTCAATTTTTTCTTTTTGATGTACGGTCCAGTTAAGTTGAATAGGACATCGAAGTTAAGATATGAAACATGATGTACAAGATTGGGTACCGGGCCAAAATGTCTGGACAGCTAGTTGAAAACATAGCCAACAGACAATTGAAAAATAGTCAATGAACTAGTAAAAACCGAAAAAAATTGACTAGTTTTTTTTTATTTAAGCTTTCGAACTTCAAACAAAAAACATATGGCCATAAAATTCTTTGAAATTCGAGAGCAATTAATAAATGGAACTTTTTTGATAAAATTAACCCAATTAGCTTACACTGGAATATTAGGAAACGTTTTTTTTTAACGTGGAATCTAAAAATTAAATTTCACTTTCAAAACTAGAATTTGATCACGTTTTTTTGTGCCATTTCAGCTTTCATAATTGAAGAGTGCATTTTGCCCACCTTCTAGCAATTGAACTTTTGAATGAAACACGAAAAATGCATATCTATCTAACGCAATTCATGTGTGCTTTTATACGTATGAATGCACTTCTTTTGTTATTAGAGCATTATAAAACTTTTCCTTAAAAAACGAAAGAAGAAACCATCACGACTCTTAATAACTACTAACCTCATTTCTTCACTCTGTAAACTGCTATATGTTAAGTGGCTGTCCCCTGTCGTTTTATAATTACTCAAACTCCTATCGTCTGCATGTGCTGATCTGTCTAGGGTGGAAGCATAGTCCAGTACACACTGCAGTCCGTCCTTCAGGGGTATTGCCTTGGATCCGAACTCTTGCAAGCTGAAAAAAAGACACAATCAAAAAGATTTTGCATAAACAATTTCAGTCAAATTATGGGGTGCTAATAAAGCGAGCTGTTGTTTCTTAGCATAAACACGTGTGAATCAAAAATTATACAAAGTAATACCGTTCATGTAGTCAAAGTCGGGCACTAATACCAGTAACGGATTTGGGGGGAGTTTTTTCAATAAGTTGCCTGCGGCGTAGTAAATTCGGTCAAAATAGGGTCCTTATAGTGATTTGGGAGAGCTCAGAAAATCAATTTGGTGGACTCCTCCAATTTTGAACATAGCCAATCGAAGATTGGAAAAGAGTAATGAACGCAAGTAAACAAAAAACACACTGAATTTCTTGAAAAAAAAATCAACTTTCGAATTTCAAAAAACAGATGCCTTTCAAGCTTTTTGAATTTCTAAAACAATTTCTGATTGGCGTTTTTTTGATAACATGAACCCATTTTGAGAAAACTGGATCAATAGGTAAAATTTTTATTCCGCTGGGATAACTTAAAAATAAATTCCACTTTCCAAACTAGAAATTGTTCGTTTTTGTCGCACTATTTCCACGTTTGTATTTGGAGAGTGCTATTTACGTCACTTTCAGCAGATGAATTTCAATTGAACTCAAAAAGTGCATTATACCTAAGTGCATCAATATTTTAAGACTTTTTCCTGAAAAAAAAATCAGTAAGACCTATATAAGAGTCTTTACTACGTTCATTAAAAATCCCCCCTCGAGAAAAATCTACACCCGCCCCCTGTCTAGAACAATAAGGTGAATCTTGCACTAGAAAAATTTATTATCTAGAGACTGCTCTTAATGACAATTTGGGAAAACGTTCACTGAGCATTCGAATTTTTTTATGACCCCATCAAAAAAATGATCAGAGCTGCTCTACCCTCATTAAAAAGCCAGGCTTTTCATCGGGACACGACCAAAAACCAGCTCTATCAAGTGGAATAAGAAAAAGTATAAATAAGCCTCGAATTAGCAAAAACTCGGCTACGTGCAGGATTCGAATCTGCGACCTACTACAATGAAGAGATTTTGAGTCTCACCCATTATCCACTCATCCACGCAAGCTTAACAACCGACAAACACTAGTCACGAATAAAGCAGCTACATATGCTAATAAATTGCCAATGCAATTCAGCAAATGTGGCACCAAATACAAAAAGACTTAATTTTGCATGTCATAATTTGGAATATAACAATCTGAAAGCATCCACACTAACTTTGCATTTAAGAAATTTTGAGATGTAATGAGTTAAAAAATTTCTGAAATGGAGTTTTCATTATTGTTATGTTGTTTGAAACAAATCACTTTCTTTCGGTTCATTTGATGAATTAAAATGCATCAACTGTGTTAAAAATGCATAACTTATTACTATTCCAATGTCGGTTTCCAAAAACAAAATCGATACATAAATTCCGTGTCGTAGAATATTGATACGCACTTTTCCAGTTTTCAGACTAAATCAGCACATGCTATCAAAAAGCTATAAAGGTGCCCCACTATTATTGAAATCTGAAAAAAATCGTCTTCCAAACTAGAGGTCGACCACGTTATTTTTAATTTACACTTTGGCTGTTCGATAGTAGAAATTTCCTTCCTTTTAAAAAAGAAATGAACTTAACTAAATCAAACGTCAAATCCTGAAATGAAAAAAAAACGCTTAAAAAACATCACAACAGATATGAGTGTCTTCAGTATGTTCAATTTCACTTGAAAACAAAAAAAATTCGCATTACTAAGCGATTATATTGTTACTGGAGAAAGCTATATGAATGACATCATTATCAATTAAATAGAAATGTCCAATGTTTCTTATTCCGATCAAATCACAAAGTGAGAAGGAACTATCAGACAGCTCGTGGTTTTTTTCTGTATCAACTGAGGTATCATTTTAAAGCAGTTTCAGACATGATTTTGTTTCCAAAAAAAATCGAAACATTAATTCCGGGTTGCAGAAAATTGATATGCATTTTCCAATTTTCAGACTAAATTATACGTTTACAAATGACACAATCAGTGTTTGAAATAAATTTAATTATTCTGCAAATTTTAAATACAGTAGCGAAGCGAAGCTTCGCATCATTTGTGATATAACGCAAGCACAGCACTGCAAGCTAGCGAATAGAAATTGAGACCGATATAGAAAAAAGAAAAAACTACATTTTGAGAAATGTAAGAAAAATTCAAAAAAAATCAAGAAACTCAACAAACAGCATTAACTTAAGGCTTTAACTTTAACTGATTGAGCCAAAAACAGCCGCTCTAAGCCTGTCAATGAGCCGAAAACAAAAAAAGCTATACAAATTTTGACAAAAAAAATTTGAGCTATTAAATTTTAAAATTTTAAATCCATGCACAAAATAGGATTTTGACAAACTAACTGATTTTTTAAATCAAATGATTTTTGCCCTTGAAGAGACACAAACAGAGCTAAGTAAGCCGATAAAACATAAACCAAAAATAATTAGGCCGAATGAAGCTTTTGAGCGATACAAGAAAATATACAAAATCAGGGCTAATAATTTTATAAATTACAGGAATACATCAAAAACACTTGCATCTACGACGAAAACTGCTGGCCGCAAAAAAATCTGCACTGTGGTAACTAAGCCGACAAAACATACGCAGGCACTATAAAACATACCGACAGTTCAATTTTTCCCAAATCGTTCAATTTCATACATAGTGAAAAAAAACAAGGTCCGACAGGGACTCGAACCCAGAACCTTAGGGTACATAGAAAACCGCGTTACCTCTAAGCCATGTTGATGCAGTCTCAAAATTGCAAAGACTCACTAATAAAATAACTGCAATATCAACTTAAGATGTAAGAAAAGTTGTTTACGGGAAAATAATCTTAATTCCGGATTACAAGACACTTGCTTTTGCAACTAACAAATTTAGCAATTATTACCTCTCAATTGGCAGATGTTTACTTCACTAAATTTCCCTTCCCCCAAAAAAATTCAACAAAAAATGAGAAGATTATTTTTTTCAATTTTTTTTCCTGTTTTTTGAAGCAATCGCAGTAGTCGGAAAATGTGTGCTACTTGTTCATCAACCTGCTATCCTTGTTTAATTTCATTTTGTTAGCAGACTTTCAGTGAATTATGGATCTGTGCCGTGTGTTTTTACCACATTTGTTTTTTGCATTGAATATAGTGAACCTGACCAAAATGCGCCGTTATTCTAAACACAGAGGCGAAGCTGTGCTTCGCAAACATTAGCGAGAATATGAAAAAAAACCAGCGTTATAAAGTGAAATAACAAAAAACCTTATTTCACAAACTTTGTTACCTACCGGATTCGAACCTGCGACCTCAAGATTTAGCGTCTAACACCCTATCCTCACGATCACGAACGCTTAAAATTCAGCAAACACTAGTCACAATTCAAGCAGCTAAATTGCCAATGCGATACAGCAAAACTAACACCAAATACAAAAAGACACAATTTTGCAAAAAAATAATTTGGCATAACAACCTGAAGGCATCCGCACTAACTTTGCATGTAATAAATTGGAAAGCATAAAGCCACATTAAGTATAAGTTATGCATTTCAGAAAAAAACGCGTGATATATTGAGTTGGAAAACTCCTGAAATCGAGTTTTTATGATTGATATGTTGTTTGAAACAAAAAGCTTTTTTTCGGTCCATTTGATGAATTATAAATGCATCAACTGTGTTAACTTATTAGTATTCGAATGTCAAAGCACATGCTATCAAAAAGCCTTAAAGGGGCCACCAAAAGTAGCACCAATAGCTGCGACTCAGGCTAGAACAAAAGAATAGCCGTACTATTACACTACGCTCACTAAAGTTCGCCAGTGTAAATATCCTAAAATACCTAACAAAAATAAGTGAAGATTCCGCACAAATAAATGAAAATTAACTTGGTTCATTAAAACTTGCGAGAACCCGGCAAAAAGCTGCTCTATAAAGTGCAATAAATAAAAAAAAATTAGAAATAAGCCTCGAATTAGTTAAAAAAATATATGGCAACCACTGAGATTCGAAAGTGCGACCTAGAGATTAAGAAACTCACACACACAAATTAAGCTGAGAACAGATGTAATGCAGTTTCCAATGCTACATTGAAATTTCCAAAAAAAAAAACTGGAGACTTTTAATGAACACTTTTATTTGCGTGTTTGTTTAGAAAAAAAGAAGGTTCCCAATAACACACTAAGCTGATCGCAATTGTAATAATTAAAAACCCTATGTATGAAAGAAAGGGTAAACATCGAACTACTAATACTACTACTCACTGGTTCAGCTGAGAGTTTAGTACATTCAATTTAGCCTTCAACTCGCCCACCCGTTTCCTCTTCTCCCTTGTGACTTTTTGGTTTCGGAGGAGGAACCTGTCCAAGTAGAGCACTTCTGGGAACTGCAACCTGTCATGTATCTTCTCCGTCCTCTGTGAGCTGGGGTTGTAGATGAATCTGTTCAAGTTCAGAATCACCACTCGTGGAACCTGTTATGCACAAAAATATGTAAAACACGCAGTCTCACTGTAGCTATTGTTGCTTCCTAACAATGAATTAAACACGCCATTATAACAAAAATAATAATCATCAAGCAAATTCACTTTATTGTAGCATCGGCATGCCCAAAAAAATAACGCATCAGACTGAAAGCTCAGACAAATGAGGTTTTAGACTCTACGGGCATAATTTCTGTTCTGCAAAATTTCTGTTCTTGTACAAAACGACGATATATTGGTCATCAAAAGCTAATCAGCCACAAGTCGCATCCTAAAAGAAGGCCCATTAAATTGGAAAACTAACATATGGAAATCGACATAGATCGGAAGCCTGATATTTCTTAACAGTTCTTATATTTCTTGGCAATTCTTAACAGTGATGTAATTACAGGCAGTAATATTGAAAGAAACAACAAAAGTACTCAAAATATGCCTGTGAAAAAACTAAATTTGGGTGTCCAGCTCAACTAATCAAACGCTTCCAGCATCTTGCAGCTTTATTGGATGAAACAAAAATGATAACCCAAAAAGCTTTTTCATTGTACCTTGAAAAAGCCATAATACTGTTATAAAATGTCAAAAAAAATTAGAGCCAAAAAATGGGTTCAAAAAAAAGGTTCAATATATCTTTAAAAAAAAACAGACAGCCCACAATTATAGAAGTACTTCTTATTTAATTTGGGAACTAAAAAAACAATGGAAATTATAAGGACTTCTCATAAGATGAAGTTATACCAGTTAGAGAAAACTCAATAGATACGCAACTTTTGTTCCATTGGGAATGCAGAACAAAGTCAACAGGCAATTGGAAAAGTCAAAAAACGCAAGGAAACAGTAAAAAAACTGATTTTTTTTAAAAAAACTTTAATTTTAGTACCATATTTTAAAAACTAGTGACATAAAAACTCTTTGATTTGAAGAACAACTTATTATTAACACTTTGTTGATAACAATAACCTAATTTGAGAAAACTAGAAATTTGAGCGTGAACGAAAAATCACCACGTTCATCGACTCGTAAAAAAGTCTATTTTTAAAACTAACAATTTTTCGTGACCTTTCACTTTTGCTGTTCGATAGTCGAGTTTGCATTCATTTAACAAAGTAAGTGATGCGAACTTAAAAAGTAAACTATTACTCAAACCGCAAGCAAACTCTTTTTACAACGTGAAAAAAATCTAAGACTTTTTACTACCCAAATCTTTTCTTCTCGAAAATCTTCGATTCATCCACCTATTCTTTGATTAATCAAAAAGACCGATGAGTCCAAATGAAGATGCAATTTAATTGACACTAAGAACCACCCAAAATTCTGAATTTAATCTTGAAATTTATTAAAGCAATTCACCAGCTCAGGCACTAAAACTCGGGTAGTCCCGTAATTTTAAGGCAAGCAACATAGCCAACAGACAGTTGAACGCAATTGAACAGAAAAAAATACCGACTTTTTTGTATTTTAAAGACAAAATAGATGCCCTTAAAGCTCTTTCAATCTTAAGATTAATTTATGATTGGCCCTTTTTCTATAAAATTGACCCAATTTGAGAAAACTGGATCAACAGGTAAGACTTATATTCCGCTGGTCAATCGGAAAATTAAATTCCACTTTTGAAACTAAAAGTCGATCACGTTTGTTGTGATCTTTACAATTTTGCTATCGATAACGGAGTTTGCCTATCTTTCAATAAAGAAATGAATTGAACAGAAGAAAAAAAAACGGGAAAAAGTGATTTTGAGCCTAAAACAATTTTATAAATTTTCCTGAAAAAAAAACGTTCATCGACTCTAAAAAATCTTCAACAGCTAGCTAAGAGACAGTTGGAAACCCAAAAAAAAGTGATCCCTTTTTGAAAGTAGACGAAAAAAACATACCTTTTTCTCTCGTAGATTTTCAATAATTTTTCTTATTGGAACGCTCTCAAAAAATTATCCAAATTTGCAGAAACTCGTCAATCGCTGATTTTTAAATTGTTGAGAAAACTAGACAAAAAATCGTTTTCTGAAACAACAAATCATTCACAATTATTGCGCCACTAGCTCATTGTTATTGGAGAGTGCAATTTACCATCCATTAGGCAAATGAACTTGATGTGAAGTCAAACGACTAATAAGTCACAAGGAAGAAAAAATTTTGCGTGCGAATAATTTCCAATTCATTTTTTTTTTTAAATAAAACTCGCGACATAAATAAATGTATATATTTCCGTCAACGAAACTTGAAAAATTCGAGAATGAACAAATTTTAAAGCTGTTTCCTAAGTGACATAAAAAAACTAAATTAAAATTTACACTGACGCGAAGCGGAGCTTCCCACTACTTGTGATGCAAAAATATTAAGAAAAAACACGAAAAAGCAAAAACATCGAAGTAAAAAACGAAAGCAACAATTTCAGTCTCAAACTAACTTGGAAGTAAGGCATTAAACTAATCAGATCCTTGTTTTTCCGTTTTTTATTTAAATGAAGCAAAAAAAAACAATAGCGTAACTTCACTTCCAAGTACCATAATAATAATAATAAGACATGAGGTAGAAATCAATTTAAAGGCGGCAATTGATAATTAAACGAAAATGGGACAACCCAGAAACTTACGATCATTTTAAAACCAAATTTGGAAACTTTGTAAGATTTCAAAAAATATATTTATTCAAACCCATAATCTCAATGTTAGGGAGGTTCATATTTATATTCGAATCTTGGAGCCATTTCTAAGCAGGGATAAAAAAATAGAACATTTATGCATACATATAAATTTTTTTCAGAAAATATTTCAGCATAAAATTCTAAAATTCTGTAAAATGGTTGAACAGCGCAGCCTTATTAATTTTAGAATTGATTGTATAACTGTAGCACCTGAACTATAGCACCTAACTGGAACTCCACCCCTAAAATTCCTGCTGTTTTGATAAAAAAAGTGATTCATTTTCTGAACTACCTTTGTAATCCACTGTTCCCCACGCGAACTGCTGGCTGTGAACTCTGACTGCAGGCTGGCATCTATGCTGTCGTAGAGTGTCTGGAATCCACGCACTTGCAGAGGCACCTGTATAACCTTTCTAGCTATACCTCAATTACATCGAAATAGTTTCCCTTTTGGATCTTTATATCAATATCAATCATGTTCTTTTTTCCCACCATTTTCATTCGTATTTTTGTTCTTGGAGCTTATTTGGCCATCCATTTAGCAATTGAATTTGAAAGGAAAACTCAAATTAAAAAAGTGAAGAATAAAATTGCTTTTCCTGAACACCAAGCAACGTAGAAGAATGAAAATTCAATTCGTATTAACACTTGAAAATTTCTGCCCTTTTGGATCAACCGCACAGCCTCAACTCCTCCGCGCCTCTCTTCGGTGAGTCTTTCCTTATGCATTCATTAATTTTGAAATATGATTCCTTATGAAATGAGAGTTTGGTTCTTTTTTTCTTTTCCCCACCGTTGAATTATTAAAAACATATTTGCTCTTCATGTCTAATCTGTTAAAATCACTGGTTAAAATTGTCCATTTAAACAAATATTGAATTCGTAGAACAAGGGTCTAGACTTTGTGTCTACATTCAAGTCGCTAATTGAGGGAATGAGGAATACTTTACAGATGAATTTTGGATATATTTGTCCCCAGCCTTTCTTCGTCCTTGGTATCGTGGGCCTTTTTTCCCCTGGGGGAGATCGAAGTCATCCATATCGCAGTAGCCAAGTGGCGTTAGAAAAAGCATACTGATCAATTGAGGCAGTATTATTAAATCACCTTGACGGTGACTGAGCAGAATGGTCTCAAAGCGGAAAGACTTTAAGAGCAGAAAAACTGAAAAAACTGCATTTTTGGGCTAACTGAGCTCAGTTCAATTCATTTACCAAAATTGAAAAAATACGCAAAAAGCTTGAAAATTTGTCACTAAAGACAAGCGGAGCTTTGCACCACTCGCGATAGATCAAAAACATAGCATGGCACTCTAGCCGATAAAATGAGAAATGAGACAGACAAAAGCCGCAGAAAATTAAATCTAATTGATCATCGAAAAAAACGCACAAACAAAAGCGATTTCAAAGCCGACAATACCTGAGCAAGACACATGTTCAGCTGTTAAAAAAAATTAAAAGAGCTTTGAAAAATTAATGCTAATTGATTATCAAAAAAAAACGAACAAGCAAAAGCCATAACAAAACCGACATAGACAATACCTGAGCAGTCACATGGTTAGCTGGTAAAAAAAATTTAAAACAACTTTGAAACTACAAAAACCGAAGTAATTTAATCAAAAAAGTCAAAAAATCTTCATCTACCATATTTTTACATGTTTCGCTCGTATGCAGTAAAACCTGAGGAAAACCAGTCTTTGGCACAATTTCAAGCGAGAAATTAGCATTCAGGCAAAACTTCACCAGTCGTAACTTTTTAAGTCGAGAAAAAACCACAACTAAAAACCTCAAAAGATGTCTGTAATGATGTTCATTTGCGGAAAATAGAAACAAAGGCGTTTAATGAAAATTCAAAAACAATTATCAATCGACAAATGAGCCGACAAAACTTACCGTAGAACTAAAACTAAATGTTGTCATGAAAAACTCTGACCTATAAATTCTATAGTAGCATTTTTAGCAGTTTGTGCCATCCGGAGGGGAGCACAAATAACAAATATTATTTTCCTTAAAACAAACAAAATTAGCTCACAGAGCCAAAAAAAATTAGCCGAAATCATTAGTGCCGAATGAAACTTTTAAGCGAAAAAAAGCTGGAACGAAAATATACGAAATTAAGGTTACTAAAACTACAAATTGCAAGAGTGTATTATTCACTAAAAGCAACTATAGCGAAAATGAGTACAGTAAGAACACTACGACACGGCAACTTAACCGACCAAACATAAGCAGAAAATTGATAAACCGACTACTTGCTTGAAACGGAATATTTCCCGTTTGCATAAAAAAAAACTGGTCCTGGTCAGATTCAAAAACAGAAAATTAGCTGTCCCAGCCGGAGACGCTGAGAAGTTCGGATTGATTATGAAACAAGATACCAAGTAATTCTTTTAGGCAAGTTCTTAACCCGAACAAAAATCTATATTCCCATTTAATAGCGCCTGCTAATAGCAAGCGTAATAATGACCTGCTGTTATAAAACTACTGAAATCGGAAAAATCTCATGCTGTCAAAAAATCCGACAAAAAATAAAAGACAAACAAAAGACCAACAAAAATTTTTCCGAGAGAAAATTCATTTCAAATCTCGAAAGAGCACTGCTGCATCAAGAATACTGCTAATGGCAAACTGTAACAAAAAACGTTTAAGAAAAAAAATACGCTGTACAGGTGGGACATAAAATTGGGCCTGGGTAAGTCAAATTGCTCTTGGCAAGCGTTCAACTTGAGTTATATTCAATAGCAAAAAACAGCTGCTGAAAAAATTTATTTATACGTGAACAATTGAAAACTTTTTAAAAATTAAATCGTAGCTAATTTTTGAGAATCCCACAAAAATGTATCAAAAAATTTACGAACATAAGAAAAATCATAACAAACATTAAAAAAATCAAAAAACAAGAAAAATACAAATAACACAATAAAAATCAGGTGATTGACGTTATTGAATTTGCCATACTGATGCGGGTTGAAATGACTTATTTCGAGAATTAAAACATTGGACTTTGCCCAAAATCTCAACAAAACAAGTGAGATGAGTGAAACTTTTTGAGAAATTGGAATTTTATTAAGGACAACTAGCTTCGTGCAAATAACTAAAGAGTCGCTTCTTCTGCACGAAAAACTCTCGCAAGTAGTTCTTTCAATTGAGCTCTTCTTCTCAGACATGAGAGGGTTAATTTTAACTTAAAAATTTCCAAAAACAATAACTTTCCAAAATCCATAACTGACATAACAAAAAACGAAAAAAAAAAACATCACGACCTATATAAGAGTCTGAACTACGTTCATTGACTCTTAAACACTTACTGTTTGAAAAGCAAATAATTATTTCTAACGAAAATCAGCGCAGCCGCTTAAGGAGGTAGGCTTTCAAAAACCTGCTGTTTCGATTAAACACTTTACATCAGATTTCACAGGATAGTTAATGAGAGAAGTAAAAAAAACTTCAAAAAAGGTTCAACAAATCAAAAAATCGACTTTTCGTCAAATCAATATTTTTACTTTCCCGAAGGCTATAACTAAAAGAGTAAAACAATTTTGACGTAGCCATTCCTGCATGGGAGCTTCCGGCAACCTGTTTTTCGGATTGAACCCAAAATCTCAGATTTAGGAGGGTTATTTTTGAAAACCAAAAACATGGGTCAAATATTCTCCCCATTTTCGAAGGCTATAGACAGTGGGATAAAATGAAAAAATAACTACGCCAGTCAACAGGGCAGTAGGCGTCCTGTGCATTGATATATTTCGTTTTGAGAATTGGTAGAGCATGAAAAACTAAAAAAGTTTAAAAATTGCAAACAGTGAAAAAAAATCCAAAGCGTCTCAAAACAAATAAAACCCAATTCCATGCAACTTCATGATTCTAGGCAAACAAGCCAAGCAAAATGTTCAATTTTTGAATTAGCATATGAACAAAGCTTACAAAGCGGAAACAAAGAAAACAATATTTGATCAGACACCAGTTAAGCCGGAAGAAAATATATATATATTTTTGAAAAACTTGAAAAAGATTTAAATCCCCTGAGAATAGAATAAAAAAACTTTTCCTTATAGCACACAAAAAAAATCTTAGATGTGGCAGCTAAGCCGACAAAACTTGAGCAGACAAACGCAAGTTCGATTCAATTCAATTTTTACCGAGAAAAAACTTTTCAATTTCATAAAAGTGGTCCAACTAAAGCCAGAGATATCAGTTTGATATTTATTAAATTTGTTGTTTACGGATAAGTTTATAATTTAAAAAATTGTACTTCACCCAAAACCGTCGTTTTTTCTAGTTGTTTACTAACAAGTTTTTTCTAGTTGTTTTTGACACTTTTTTTACTAACAAAATCACAAAAAGTGAACGTTTTTTTGAGAACAAGGAATTTTTTCAGGGACACAACGTTTTTCGTACAAAAATTAAGGCGTAGCTGCTTATACACGGAGACTTCCCACAACCTGTTGCCTCAATTAGATCCTTGATATCAAATTCGGCCGGGTAGCCTTCGAGAAAGATCGAAAAGTGTTTTTAAAAAACGGACAAGAAAAAAACGTTGACTTTTCTGAGGGCTATATTTTTTAAGGGCGTAGCCGCTTATACAACTAGCTTCACACAAGCTGTTCTATCAATTTAAACCAAAATCTCAGATTGGATGGCGGCAGTTTCTGAGAAACGTTAAGAAAAATAAAAAAACGTCTAAAAAATCAAAAATATGAGTTTTCCGAAGACGAAAGTCTTTAAAAAAATTGGGTAGAGCCGCTTAAGCAGGGGATCTTCTCACAAGCCATCTTACCCATTTAACCCAAAATCTCAGATTTGAAAGGATATTTTATGAGAAAAAATTTAGGTCAAACATTCACCCCACAGAGTTTTTCGAAGCCTGTAGAAAGGGAGGTACGTAAAAAAAAGTAGAGGAATATGCGGGCAGTTAGGGGAATGGGCGGTCTTTCTATTGGTAACACTTTTTCAAAAATCTAAATTTTTTGAGAAAAGTGAAAAAATTCTTTTCAGCGTCTAAAAAAAATAAAAAACCAAATCCAAAACATTTTCATAATACCTGTTGTTATCAAACAGGAATGTAATGGAAAAAACAAGGTCCTGCCCAGACTCGTACCCCAGAACCTCCGGTGCAAAAGCGAGCACGATACCTCCAGGCAAGAGGGATGAAACCTGGAAGTTTAGCGTTCAACAATAACGCAAGTTCAATTTCTTGTAAAAAAAATTTTTCACGTCAAAAGTCTAGTTCCCGATTACAAAACACTTGCTCTCGCTACTGTAATAAAAAAACTGATATTTAGGTAATGTGAGAGGAAAACAAAAAGAGCCCTGGAAATGTGCAAACAACGCTGATAATAAAATTTTGCATAATAGCCGTTGTTAAGATTATGAATCAACCAACTTATTGACTGTTTTCGTTATTTTTTGATAATCAAATGTAAATTTCAAACCAAACTTCATTAAACTTAATGTGAATTTGTGAAAAATCTCTATTTTTTCCTCTAAAACGATTTGGACAAAAATTGTACGGTTGATCTCGACTATTTCATCTGGACATCAGAGGGCAAAACATATTAATTGCAAGCATTTTAAGGTCTTCAGTAATTGTAATATTCGGCTGTATCACCTGGATGAAGGCCTCTTTGGCTTGGAACTCCTCATTCCTATCTGTGAGTCCGTGAGTCTCAATCTCTCCATAAAATATGCCCTTTAATTGATCTGGAGACACCATCTCTTCAGCTGAATTGTCCGAAAATAATGATGTCGTCGACTGATCTTCTTTTTCTATTGAGTTTAGTTGCGATGACTGTTCCAGAGCTGAATTGTAAATTTGCAGTGATTCTTCGACCCACTCCAAGAGTTTGCTGGTGAATTCAGTCACGTCTTGCTGTGTGTTACTATATGCACTACCCTCAAACGCTCCTAAAATTGCTAAACTGAGATCAATGAGCACAAACTATGGATGAGCAAAAATATAGAGAAGATTAAATAGCCGTCCAACTCAAGATAGGTCACGCTACAAATGCATGCAAAAACTAGCACTCGACACTGGCACTACGAGTGTCTGCGAAACTAGCACTTGTTGGTTTGTCTGCGATAACAAAAATCGTACAGAAATCTTCAAGTTCAAGAAACTTTTTCGCATAACCTTTCTGATGAAAAATAACTGAATTATTACTATCTGGATCAAAAATTATTTTAAAATTCCGCTTGCAGTTCTAAAAACAAATAATTTAGAACAAAAGTAATTCAGGTATTTTTGCATTATTTGACTTTGGAAGCGCAATTTGCTTTCCAATTAGGAGATAAAATTGAATTTAAAAAGGAAACAAAATTTGAGCTGCGTAAATATACTTGAAAAAACGCGACTTAAATAAGCGGCTTACAAATCATTAAATGTGTCATTATGTAACTGAAGTTTGTATCTTGAAAAAAAAACTAATGGACATATTGTGTAAACATTTCATTAGTTAGGTTTCACAAACGAAAAAGGCCGTAAAATTTAAAATTAAAAAGAACGAAGTTAATCTCAATTTGCATCATTTAGCGAACGATAACTTCTTTTCATGTCTCAATTTGATGTAAAACTTACTATTCATTCTGTGAGCCTCTGCAATGAAGTAATAACTCATCAGCAACTGATTTAACTGGTTAGGAATTTTCCAAATTATGCCAACTGTTATTATATGTTTGGAAGAATGGAGCCAGCAGCTCACCTTTGAATATTTCGACCGATCTGCGTGGGTTCACGTATTTCCTAGAGCTGCCAATGAGATATGCAAAGAGGGTTCTGAGCTCCTTCATGAACTGGAACTTCTTCTTCGCGCTTTCGGTCGGGGCTGCATTGAGGGGTGGGTTGAAGTTAAGCACGAGGTTGCGAAATGCACTGATGTTGAAGAGAGCTTGGATGACTGAATTGAACCAACAACTGTTGCCTATGTTCTGCAGTCCTAGGGGCCACTCACTTGAACATCTAAAAGAAAACAAGCGTGTACAAAGAACAAGCGAAGACTTGATACAACAGTGAAGCTGTAGTCATTTAGCTCCAGGTTTAATAGCTAGATAGTGATCACCGCACGCTTAGCATGCCATGACAGCTTTCGAAACCAAAAAAGGGTCTTCTGCGCCGTTCCCACCTTTCTGTATTAAAACTTGTCACTCTGACAAATGCAACAGAGACGGTTGATTACCCAATCAGAAACACATTTTTTCATCACATACAACCTTAAAGTGGTTGTTATCTTGTGGGGATGGAACGGTAGACGAGCACTCAAATTTTTCTGACAAATTCAAAAACACACTAGTTCTGCCAAACTGTTTTCCTTTCATAAGTGCGAAGTATTACTCAATGGTCAACAAGAGAGGTCAAGCTGCTTACCTCTTCCGTTCATTGGGATCGCCGTCGAAAGCATACAGACTGGCATTCTCTAGTTTACTAGTCCTAAGACTCTCCTCCAACGCCTTGTTGATGTCAGTGTCTTCATTCGATATCCGCATATCTCCCCACGTCACTCTTTTGGCCCCACCCCCCATGCTGCTTTCGCCCATAGTGTCTTCATCACTCCGGTTGTTTTCTCCCCCTCCCCCCACAGCCGCACCCTTGGACTGCTGTTCCAGACTGAGGGCTATGGCTCTTTGCAGGTCATTGTCCTCTTTACCGAGGTTGTTATCTCCCATCTGGTTACTGCTCTGGAAACGATGCACTCTTGATCAGATTTTGTAAAAATAGTTTCACAATTAAAAATATCCATAAAAATTTCAACATGCGGATACAAAAGATGACTAAAATAAGGCAAACTCAGGTTTTTTCTCTGAAATTCCTGTCAACAAGGATCTTGGAAAACATTTTCTTAAAAATTGAACAACAATTCGACTAAGATCGAGAGCAAACGGTTTCAGTTATGATGCAATATCTCGATTACGCACAGTAGAAAAAATTGTTTAGCACAGAGGTGAAGCTGCGCTTCACATCACTTGCGATACAACACAAACATTAAAAAAACTAGAAGTACAAAAAATTGTTAAAAAGTAGGTCTACTAAAATTTTCGTATGTCACGATTAAAATTCAATCCAGGCAAACATGCCAAGCCAAACAATTGAATTTTAAATTAGCAACGGATCAAAACTGACGAAGCGGAAACAAAGCCGATAATTTTAGAGCAGACGCCAGTTGATCCGAAAAAAAAGTTGATTTTATTAAAATGAACGCAAGAAATGATCTCAGCCTTCGCATTTCGAAAAAAAATAGATGGCCTTAAACCTCTTTGAATTTCTAGAACAATTTATAAAAAGCACTTTTTGATTAAGATAGCCCCATTTGAGAAAACTGGATCATTCGGTAGAGTTTTTCTTCCGCTGGGAAGTCTGATAATAAAATTCCATTTTCAAAACTAGAACTCGATCACACTTTTCCTGCTTCTTACATTCGATAAAGGAGTTTGCCATCCTTTTACAAAATAAAATGAACGGAACTTGAACAGAAATCAAAAGTCAAACTTCGAAAAAGTAAATTTGAGCCTGAATCATCGCGACCTATATAGGAGTCTGAACTACGTTCATCGAATTAAAAAAAACTGACATGCTCTCGGATTCGAACCCTTGTTCCTTCGCGACATAGCCCCGCTCCTTACCACCACACTACTGAACACCCACATTTTCACGAAAATTACCTTCATTAATAAAGCAAGGTTCAAATTATTCAAGTGATTCTGTTAAACTAGTTGATAACTAGAAAAAAGACTATATTCCAGTTTGATAACGCTTGCTTATCGCAAGCGTAATGATGTGAATCATTCTCAGCAAAAAAATGAAATCTTCAGTGAATTTCTAGTTGGCAAAGATTATTACAAATATTGAAAACTAGCATTTTCTGAAACTCAAACAAAACCTTTATACTTTCCAAGAGGATAGCTCATATTGTCTGCTCTAAGTAAATGCAAAAATGTTGTAGAACTTTTAAGTAAATTTCGTTCAATATCATTCTAGTATAAATTTTTTATATGTTCGACGCACAAGTGGAGAAATTTTAATAAACAATCAAAACTGCTTTATCTTAAGTGCCTCTTTTAGAAGACCATTTTGAAAAACTTAAAACTTAGATAACAGTTTTCATTTACCCCGAGAAAACGATCAAAGCCCAATTCCCACTTCAATCCGGGTCTGAATGGCCATTTTTTGTTATCGATTGCGGTAAATTGTACGAGTCAGCTGATTTAAGGAAATCATCACACTAAGTAATGAGCATTTCTCGTTGAGAATGTTTCAAATGGCATCAACAACAACTTCTTTATAATTCAATTTATATGTGCGCTAACTTTCCTAAACTCAGGTTTTTCGAAAAATTACGACGCAGGGAAAAGTTATCATGAACTGCTATTTTAAGAGTTGGAGCAAATTAGTATTTGACGCAGAAGCATGACATTTTCGTAGACTACTCAAATAACTTGCTCTGGCTGTGTAAAATTGTTTCGGAAATGATCCTTGAAATAGGCATTTATGAGAGCACAAACCAACACTTGCGATTAATTTTGTCACTTATGTAACTTAAAACACTTATAAGCAAACGAAAGACAAAGAAATTAGAAGCAAAATGTTCAAACGTTTTTGCTCTGTCTTTTTTAACGTTTTTTTTTCAGACAAATTTCTACTTTTTAATTAGCCATTTTAACGGAAATTTTTATATCAAAAGGTATTGTTGTCCTGAGCTTAAATTTGAAATTCAAACCTGTGATCATTTTTCGTTAAGTTATGGGGGTTTAAAGATTGCCATTTTGGCTAACTTGGGACAATTAACGCGCGATATATTTTGCGCTATCAACGCGTAAGCGGAGATTTGATTCGTCTTAAAAAACGTTCCAAATTGGTTGAAGCAGGTTTTTAGCACTACTTGTTATGTTACTGGGAGTGAAATCTACCACTTTGTACTTTACAAGACGTGTGAGGGGAAGATTTTCACAAAAAAAATCTCAAATTTTAGAAACAAAAATTTAATCTTACTTTTTTACATTAAATTTTTTCATGTTATAACTGCTCCATAGGTGTTAAAAGGCAGTCGGAACATTCAGGACTTGATACGAGCAGTCTTGCTTTAATTTGAGGTGTACTGACTTGCTTAAGTTAACACTTAAGCGGTGCTTCGCCCCCAACTGCGAAACCACAAGAGCATTCCAAGCTAGAATACAGGAAAGGCAAGAAGAGCCACTAAGTGCAAAAAATTGAAAATTTTTGAAAAACCACAATAAAAAAATTCAAAAAGTTGTCTGGAAAAATGATGTTCTATTTGCGAAAAACACGTCCAGAAACATAATCGACTGCATTTAATGGAAATTAAAATCAGTCATTGAGCCGAATTCCTGTAGAAACAAAAACAAAAACGTTTCATGAAAAATTTTGAGCGATAATTCTATTCTAAGCCTCTTAGCAATTTGTGAAATCTGGATATAACCATAAAATTTGGGCCGAACAAAAAAAACAGCAAAAAATCTTGCAGCTAAGCGAGCGGACAAAACTTAAGCATACAAATAACAGGCCGACAAATTTTTATAAAAAACGGTACATTTCCCGTTTGAAAAAAAAAACAGGCCGTGGGCATATTCAAAACAAGGACCTTCTTTGCCGTCCTATGCGTATTTGTTACCTCTAGACTAAGCGTAAAATGAGATTCAATCATGTTATAAATCGCTGAAATCGCGAAAAAAGTCGATATAAATAGGCACAAAAGACCGACATTGACTTTTTCCTAGAGGAAAAAAACTTCAAATCGAAATTTGAAAGAGCACTGCTACATCAAGAGTACTGCTACATCAAGAGTACTGCTACATCAAGAGTACTGCTAATCGCGAGCATTATCAAAAATTTATATGAAAATCAATTTTAACTGCGCAGATGGGACAAAAATTTGTGACCAGGAAAGTCATTTTTCAGAGCTCTCATTTTTAGCGTTGTATTCAACAAAAAACAGCTGCTGAACAAAATTATTTGCTAGTGGACAATAAAAAACTTTATAAAATATATAAATCGTAGGTAACTTTTTTTATTTCAGACCTTTTTATTTTTTATTTAAGCGCACATCTGACCAGAAAAGATCAGACCAATACAAAAACAATGTTCTCTTTGATATAAACTTTTTTCGGGAAAATAAGCCCAGTACCCATTTGGTTTGCAGTTAACTGTTTCAATGCTTCGAATCTTGAAGAGATTTGAAGTCAAAACCTTGGTTTCACATAAAAAAAACATTCACTTACACATGCTCTCTAATATAGGAAAAACCATAGGCGTAAACTGGGCGATTAAAGCTTGATTGAGCCGACACCTATGCCTGGAAATCATCCAACATTCCAAGCCTGTAAACTCTTGGTTAAATTTATCATTGAAATCGAAATATTCGACCATAATGGACTATGAAGGATCTTTTGCTTGTTTTCAAAACACAATAAGAAAAACCAATCGCCAAGTTACGCAAAAATTCACCAAAATCTAAATGAACTTGAGCTTTTTTCCAAAACTGGAAGAAATTAATTGCAGCACACAGATTGACTCATTGTTGAAAATCTGAAACGAAAATCAACAGGAACATATTTGATATTTCAGCACAGAGGCGCAAAAGCATTAGTATATAAAGCTGAAAATTCAAAAAAAGATTCAAAAAATGAAAGTCAAAACTCACTAACATTACACAAAAAAACTCTCACATCTTGAAATAACAGGTTGCATGAAATTCAAAAGTATTCGATAAAGAAACTTAGCCAACAGTGTTTAAAAAGTGTTAAGCAAGTCAAGGAAACCGTAAGATCAATTTTTTTTCAGAGTTCGAGTTTTATTGAACAAAATCAATCGCCTGAATTTTTTTGATGTAAATATTTCTAATGAGAGCCACATTTTTGACAAATTCAAGTCACTTTAAAAAAATCTAACTATTTTTTTTCCGCTGAGATTTCTAAAGAAATACTCTTTTTGAAGCCCAAAGTTCGGTTCACTTTTTGAATGGAGAGCAGTAGAGAAGCTTGAACTTTTTTTTCCTACTAGAGAGGATTCCCCGTTTTCTAATTGGTCAACGAAAGTGAAAAAACAAAATCCAGAAGTCGATGTCAAACCAACAGAACAGATTTTTTATCATAAAACAAAATTTGAGAACGTTCAATATTCAATTACTATTTGCGATGATCATATAAAACTAATAACTTGCTTCCAATTATAAGTTTCTGGGAAAATGCTTTGACTAAATAGATAAAAGAATTCAATACCATCTTAAAATCTTAAAATTTGTTTCCTATGTTAATTCAAAATGATACTTGGACTTAAAAAACTCTAATATCTCTGAAGTCATATAGCCTAATGTATAAATGGTGGATCAATGGTCAGAAGACCTGGGTTCGAATCCACCCCAGGACTATTGCTTATCTAGTATTTTTTCCTAGTAAAACGTTAAGGACATGGGTAGATCATCCCCCACAGACGGTTTTTCGTCCTTTTTTCTAGATCAAACTCATAAACTTGACCGCTAAATTAACTAGCCGGTAGCAGAAAATAGAATTTCAATAATAGAAATGCTCGTTTTATAGAATTTCAAAAATGTTTCATGGTCGTTTGTCTTATATCGTTCGTTTCCGTCAAAATGAGCAATCAAATTTTGTGTACCAAACTTTACTGCCAAAGAAAGCTTTGAAACGTGATTGTTTTATAATTCTGACGTTTTCCTGTCAGATACAGTGCTTCCGAGTCTCAATTATGCGCTAGAGGGCCAAACAGTAATCCGAATTTCAAATTTTTGCTGTAGCATTC